TCTTGATACATTTAAATAAAAAAAGGGTAAATGAAAATACAAAGGTATCAGAAGATTGCTTTTTACTATGAAACAAAAAACATATTGTCTTCATTTTGTTGCATTTCAATCTATCATCTCCAGTAATATTATTTTTGCATTAAAGGGAAAAGGAATCTATTTCTACTTCACGTAAAGCAGACTTTTTCTCAATTAACTGCATTTTAAAAAATACCTGTTTTAATTGTGGGCCGCCTTATTGTGTGTGACTTAATGGTTTCAGCGTAACGTGACTCAACCAGTCATATAAACAGATTAACTGTACCCAGTTGCGTTTAAACATTTGGCAGTCTTCACTTTTTTCCATTGCTTGCACAGATACTGCAATATGACAATTGCTGAGACTCAAAACTCCCTTTTAATATGAGTACAAAATCCATATTCTTCACAGGTTTCATCAAAAAAATGAAATAAGCGTATACAATGTTTACATTCTCTGTGTGTGTTTGTTTTACTGAGAAAACAGGGGATGGCACACGTAGCCAGGGTCTGACAAGATAAGAGCAGTGTGTGTGGGTGTGTGTGTGGGTGTGTTGGTGTGCGGGTGTGCGTGTGGGTGGGTTGTGTGTGGGTGTGTGTGTGTGGTGTGTGTGTGTGTGTGTGTGGTGTGTGTGTGTGCGTGCGTGTGTCTGTGTGTGTGTGTGTGTGTGTGTGGTGTGTGTGTGTGTGTGTGTGTGTGTGAGAGAGAGAGAGAGGCTAACTCATTGACTCTTATGGCGCTTTTCCATTAAGATGCTCGATGCTTGTTCATGCAAATGAGAGTGTGTTGACCTGCCACAGTCTGCTCACAAAAGTCAATCCATTAGCTGTCCGTTTTCCCCTTTCTCTTTCCTTCTCTCCATCTCTCTCTCGCTTACCTCAAGTCTAGTGCGTTTCGTTTTTCTCTCCTGTCTCCCTCTCTCCTTAGTCTCCCTTTCTTTCTGCCTCTTTTTCCACCTGTGGCCCTTTCAGCTGTTTTTGATCCTTTCCCCTTCGTTCTCTCATTTTCATCGAACTACAATGGCGATAGCAACCTGTACATTTGGATAGATATTGTGTAGAATTAAAAAAACACAATCTGCGCCTTGCTATCATTGGACATAACAATATTTAAATACAATTGTCCTGTATAATACATAACTAAATCACGCATTAAGACAAAAAGCAAAAATATGCACACAGGGTAAATATGAGTCAGGTGGCAGAAAAATGCAAGTGACACAGCTTTTGATCAATGAATATTATATTGGTTCGTAATTGGGAGGCGAGGAAACACTTGCTATAATAGCAAACATACACTCCAAGAACAATTTATTATTTACAAAACAATGTGAAAGTAAAATAAAAGATAGCTGTTATACAGTTGGAAATAACCTAATTTGCCAAATAAATATTTGTTGCCATTTGATTACCTTCAAACCAAATAACAATTGGCTTAGATAGGAAACCGGGGGTGCCTGCTTTTGGTAAACAGTCTAAGATGTTGTCAATTATTGAAGCAGCTATGCACTGATAGCTGTGGAGATTTTTAATACGATTCAGAAGATTAGTCTTGTACAATTGAACGTTTATGTTTTGATCTTAAATGTGCATTTGATTATTGGTTTTGTGCAGAAAAATATAGTCTTACAAGTTACAAGTGTAATAGGGAAGGAATAATTCTGCTCACTGGGTATCTTCCAAGGCAGCTAATACAAGAGTAAATTAAAAGATTATTCACATTTTGATGTTGATTTTTCTGATGTAACCAATCTGTAAAAAACACAATGTTTTTTAACAGATTTCAGCTCCTTAAAATCTGTTTCCATGCCCTGATATATCGGATTATAAACATCTTGGCAACCATAGCTTATCTGAATTCTCAGAATGAACTAAATGTCCCTGTAATGACAATGCAGTGACCTTCAACAAGGGCTCAGAGCAAATGTGCAACACGCCACAAAGAACAATCATTACTACAAACGGTGTCGGACAAAACATACCGGCCTTTTCTTACAATTTGCTGAGTTTTTATCAGCTAGAATTGAAATAAATGATATACCTTCTTTCTGCATCCCTAAAGGGATATAAGCATGCCTTTTTGCTTCTCCTTTCCGACTAATTTCATTGTGATTCTACTGTCTTCACCATTACTGTTCCCTTTTCCAGTGTTAGTCTTTGATCTATCAGTCCAGCTATTTCTCCAATGCTATTAATTATCATTATCATGTTTTTATTTAGCCTTCCCCCCTCACTTTCTATATCCATCCATCTCCCTCCCCCGTCTTTCTGTGTTGCTTTCTTTCCTAACCACCATGTTCATTTTGCCCTTCCTTCCTCCTTCGTTCCCCTCACCTCCTCTTCTTCTGTGCTGTGATAACAGAGATGCAGGCAGAAGGAGAGGAGAGTGCTGAGTTAAACACAGACGCACAACTAGGCCAACACAACTGCCTCCAGGGATGTGTGTGTATATGTATGTGTGTGTGTGTGTGTGTGTGTGTGTGTGTGTGTGTGTGTGTGTGTCCATGTTTATTCGTATCTGTGCATCAGTTTGTTTGAGAGATTGTGACTGAGTAAGACAGAAAATGAGAGTGACAGAACAACATGGACAGACAGAGAGAGACATCTGATAAGACCCTCCTATAAGTATATCTATTGTCCATGATTAAAAAAAACAAACAGTTGTTTTTAACCTTCATTATGTAACCAGAAAAACTCAATGAAACAGTTCCAGAACAAGTAAAAAGTTACTGGTCGTGATGCTGCAATGCAGGGCTACCCACATTCAGGCATTCAGGGTGCATGTGTGTCAGGACACGGACTGAGTCTAGATTTCAAAGTGACCTTTTTTTAAGGTTAATTTAATCAAGAATTGTCCCAGCTGGTGCTTGTAAGGCTGTCTGAATTGCAGATGCCGTTGCTTGAAGTAATCTGAATTGTAAAAAATCAATTCAATACGTTTAACTGTTTCAGTGTCATTTCAAAAAATGTCACGTGTATTTTGCCATCAGGTAAACACACTGAATATACATCTCTCAGATACATCCTTCCTGTAAATTAGTTGCAATCTATTTTCAACAATCTACATTGCCATCATCTTAAAGCATAACAAACTCTTTCAACGCAACACTAAATTGTTTTTTATAATAGCTGAAATTATTATTTAATGGTGGAGGGATGTTGGGGGGATTGCATAAGTGTACATATGTATTAAAATGTATGGAATGGACGATGTTCATCAGCCCAACCCCAAATCACATGACTGTTTCTTAAACTCACATTGGACAATATGGCTACTGCTGTATTTGTGTGGCAGCATGTGCAGATGTTTGGCCTACAGTAGGCAAAGCTGCTACAGTAAGAACAGTGAAAGCTACACTACTAAATGTGTGTGTGTGTTTGTTTTGAGTATGTCAATCATAGTAACTGGATCACATTGTGTTGTGTTGCAGAGGATGGTGTGTCTTGATCTTGGACCCTGTGGATTGTAGGCTGCATATGTGCATGTATGTTTGGATGTGTGTTGTTTATATGTATGAATGGCAGTGTTTCTGAAAAACAGACAGGGCAGATGCAGTACGTGTGTGTCCCTTTTGGATGTATTCTGGTTGTGTGTGTATGTGTGTGTGTAGATGTAGACTGTATGTATTATGCAGACCTAAGAGAGCCTGGTGCTATAAATAAAACAGGGCTGCAGTGTGCTCACTGGCGGAATAATCTATCTGACACTATGGAGAAAGAGAGAGAGAGGTAGAAGTTATTGTAGAGACCAAGAGAAGAGCAGAGAGGGAGGGAGGGACGAGCAGAAATAGAAGACAGGTGAAGATGCAGAGAAATACAGAATGGGAAGAAACAGGGCCAATGTTTAAGCAGGTAAACAGGGAAGTAGTGCCAAGGGAGAAATCAAAATGTGGCTTATCTACAGGGTTTCTTGTTTTTATACTCCTCACCTGTGTTAAGGACATTCTGCAGGACCTGCACATATTTGTCATAATGTTCAAGTGCTCGTGAGCAAAATGTCAAGAAGCTAGTAAAACCAATTGTTCAGGCCTTTTCACAGAAATATCTGTAATTACATGACATGTTTGCTCATTGATTTGTGTTGTAAGTGCTCAAATACTTAAACACATAACATTTGATAATAGAGCAGCATTTGTTGTTCAAGGATATATAGACAAGCTGTTGAGGATTTAGTTATGACACAGGCTGGATAGACTATGTGGGTCAAACCAGTGACATTATGATGATGACGGGATTGTCCGCTTAGTAACTAGGTCACCAGTTTACGCAGTTTCTTTCCATAAAGTTCAATATACTACATGTATATTTTGCCTTGCCAAATGAAATTGACTGGCAACTAACTGTTATCTGCTATTGCTTTAGTTATAATCTATGGTATGTACGAGCAAAACATGGTATGCGTGTATAAATGTACATGTATGTGTGCAGGCATGTATGCATAGAAAGCCATTCATTGATTGATGGATTATCTTCAGTATTCTTGTTAATGCATTTCTAAATGTAAAGTCGCTGCCACAATGTGACATTGAGATGTTTCCATGGACTTGCAAAGGTGCAGGAAGGTGGGAAATTATGACATAATAACTTAGATAATTATTCAAGAGGTAAAGTCTCTGTCAGGCAGCATTAATGAACAAAGCCATCCTGCTTGATTACCCCTTTTATGTCGACCTTCATGTAAAGGGCAGTTACTGGACTAGTGCCAATTCAGGAAATCATATTTTGTCAATTAGTGTCCTGGGTTGGAGCACATTGGTTCGAGGAAAAACAGTATCAGCTGGATTTGACGTCCATTGTAACGGGAGGACATCATTTCCTAATCTCACAATATGTCCTCTCCTGTGGCTCTGTACATATCATCAGGATTTTTTTAGTTTTCACCTTCTCTAACTGAATACCTATAAAAAAGCTTTAAAAAAACACTTGTCAAACGTCCTAACTTTCTTAAAACACCTTTTCTTACCCATTGCTTTGCCCTCCAGGTCATGGAGTTGAAGGGTCAAATGATCCATTTGCCCGAGTCCAGCTCCATGATGTTTCTGGGCTCGCCACGTGTCGACAAGTTGGAGGAGCTGATGGGCAGGGGTCTCCACTTGTCAGATATCCCCATCCATGATGCCACACGAGACGTTATCCTGGTGGGGGAGCAGGCCAAGGCCCAGGATGGCCTAAAGAAGAGGATGGACAAACTGAAGGTAAAGTGGTTGTTACTAGTAAACACTGGGTCCATTCTTATTCACAGTGCCACTGAGAAAACGTTGACTTTATTAAAAAATAGGCTTTTATTTGTGGCTTCTTGTTGTAAAACAATGACCTAAACAGGACCCACCTGCTTAAATTCGTTTAAAATGTTCTAATCTTCTAATTTACAAAAAGCAGGTGTTAGCTTTACAGCACAGATAGTAGTAGGGGCTTTGATTCCCACTAATCCTTACTAGCTTCTAATAGGCAACAACATACACTATTTATAATATTGTTTGCTATTAAGAAGATTTCTTGACTTGACTATTTGGCAACCAATCAACATGAGTAATGACAACCATTGATCTTGATCCTTGAGATAGTGAAAATACATAAAATATTCAGTATGTTGTTTGAGTCTGTGTTTCTGTTTCCCATCATGATGGCTGCGAGACAACTCACTGAAACATGTTAAATCCAGTGTCTCTGCTGACTGACTCATTCATATTGGTTCGGAGAGAGCTGCTCCTGGGACTTGCTCTTATAATTTGCTTTCAAAGTACCCTTGAGAAAGTCTCGAGTCTTGACCCAATCTTTGAATCTGCTCGCTGCAATACTCTCTCTGCATCTACTCCCCTAGGCCACTGTTATAAATAGCTAAATCTTGGTTGACTTGCCTGCTTGAACAATGGTTCAGCAATGCATCAGACAGATTTAGCATTCACAAGATCGCCCACGGACACAATTACACATATGCAGATTCACACAATCAAAAATAAATCAAATCAATACACAAATAAATGTACATGCACCAGCAGTTTTAATTTGGTGCAGTACTCCCACATCCCCTTCCTTATCCTTAGAGCCTTTATCAAAGCAAAGCACACAGAACAAAACCTTATCTCCTTATCTGCTTCTCTCCTCACAGGCCACGTTAGAGAAGACTCACCAGGCACTGGAGGAGGAAAAGAGGAGAACCGTGGATCTCCTTTATTCCATATTTCCGGGTGATGTGGCACAGAAACTGTGGCAGGGTCAGCCGGTGCCAGCACGCAAATTTGATGATGTGACCATGCTGTTCTCAGACATCGTGGGATTTACTGCCGTGTGTGCCCAGTGTACACCTATGCAGGTCATCTCAATGCTGAATGAGCTTTACACACGCTTCGACTACCAGTGTGGCATTCTGGATGTTTATAAGGTCAGTAGACAGAAATATCCATAATATCTTCTTTATATGATATAGGAATACCTAAGGGATAGGATGCTGGGACATTTGTTGAAACTGTAAAAGTGGGATAACAGAAAAATAATGTTATTGTGCAGAATCAGGTCATAATAAAACAATTAAAACTTCTTGAATGTCTCTCAGGAAATAGAGGCCACATTTACAGGCTCTTTAAAGGTTTACCAGTTGTATCTAAGGCTAACCCTTTAGCATGTGTCATTACCTGTGTGAACATGATATATTTGTGTGTCGACAAGTGTATACTCTACATGTTGGGTGGTGGTGGTCTAATGGATAGTGAGGTGGGCTGAAGATCGGAAGGTTGTGAGTTCAAATCCCGCCAGGAACACCAGTGAGTAAGGCACTTAGCCCTTAGTTACTCCAGGGAGAATGTCCTTGTAATCGGTAATTGTAAGTCGCTTTGGATAAAAGCGTCAGCTAAATGAAATGTAATGTATGCAGTATTGATAGTGGTTATGCTTGTGTTATGGAAATGTAACCAATTAATGGCCAGTATGTTGGAGCCTAACACTCAGGCCCAGTTACAGCCTTCACTCTCGTCAGCCATATTTCCTTCTTTTCATCCTCTCGTTCTATTTTCTGATCAGTATTTTTTCTTTTTTACTTGCCATCAACTTTACTCTATATCTCTTTATCCTCAGTCACTGTGATAACAACAAAAACATGCTTTTCCTCTTTGTTATTTCTCTTGTATCAGATGCCTAAAGGAGAAAGGAGAGGAGGGCAGATACAGAGAGGAAGGCAGACAGATAGGGTGTATGTAACAGGGTTTATGGTATAGCAACTGAGGAGTGAGTGTGTATTTGTAAAAGAGACGCAGGAACAGGAGGATATGCTGAGAAGATTGAGGCACACATATGTTGCCATTGTCATGGTTACTGTCGAAATGATTTAGCCCGTGGCCGTCCTAAATGAGAGCTGTTTGTCTCATCGTTTTTTTTCTTTCTCTCCTGCCTTTTCTCTTAAAGGATTTTGTAAACTGTCATGACTCATGACACCAAGCTCACTCTGCTCTGGAAATATGGCAACACATCTGTGAAAGAGACACTATTTGCTTGCTTTATCAACAAATGTCCTGTGACAAAAATGTCTTTATTTGTTAGCATTTAAAAATTGCTATGTATTGCATCATTCAAGATGTCAAGCATGTCCTTCATGGTGTCCTACAAGTACACTAAACCTCATTGTAGAGCATTTAATAAAATACTGGTTAACTTGTAACTCTTAAAAGATTGTTAAATATGTAAGCGTTTATGACATGATGGCTGCAATGGTTTCAAGAAAGAATGGAAATGATTGATTTGATATACTTGTGTTTTTAGGCCTCTCAGACTGGGTCAGAAGCAATGCAAGTTGCTGTAAGTGCTTTGCAGAGATCCACTCGAAACGCTCACCAAATCCTCTTGTGAATAATGTGGCCCAAGAGAGAGAAACTAACAGCAATACTGTAGGGCTTTTAATTTCTAATGTGGAGATGGCATAAGTGGTTGAATAACTTCTTGGTTTCACACATTAGCATATACTCACAGTTCCTGCCCTTCTTCCTCCTGCATTTCTCTTACAGATCGAGACAATAGGCGATGCCTACTGTGTGGCGGGAGGACTTCACAAGAAGGTGGACAGTCACGCCAAGCCGATTGCACACATGGCCCTGAAGATGATGGAGCTTTCTGAAGAAGTGCTAACTCCTGATGGGAGACCTATCAAGGTGGGTTTTTATTATTATTTTAACAACACTGTGCTACTTGCAAACAGAAACTAGCCTGATATGCTTACATTTTTTCCTAATTATTCATATTTTCCTTCATTTTATTGCTTTGTTTTTTTATGCATTTCTTATTTGCTATAGGTATTTGACTTTCTCCCTCTGTGCCATTTTATAATCAATTTTTATTTTTATCTTGCATGTTTTAATGTACTCCTTATTTGTAGGCCTTTTCTGGGCAATTCACTGTTTCCTACTTGCTTACATTTTCATTATAGTATGTTCTAGGACATTTTGCAAATATGAGTGTTTGCTTAATGGTGTCTGTACATTTCAAATGTAGATATAATTCAGGATTTATCCTTAATAAAAGGTAAATGTGTGTCCGACTGCTGTTGATCAACCAACTTAAGGCGGTGCGTAAAAGGCACGTTTGCTGTGTTATTTTTGTCACAAATCAGCACCTGATTGTGATTGATGTTTTTTTTTAATTGAATAAAAACATTATTTTTAGCTTGTTTTTTTGTTGTGGCATTCCTAATCACCATGAAATGAACGCACAATCAATCTCTTGCTGAGATGAAACACATGTTGTCTTGTCAGCAGTAGTTACTATATGACCGTTTTAAACAATCGCCTAAGACATTCAACAGGGTATTTGTTGTCTTGCTGTTGTTATGTTGTGTCACTGCTCATTTTTGCTGAAGCGTTATACTGTAAGCCTAGTATTATATTTATTTTGGTTTCATTTTATTCTGATACTTTCACTATAAGAACACAAGCAATTAATGCATATGATTTTGCAACATGTTGTGAAACTGATGGAGACCAATTAAAAACATGTGATTGGGATCCACTGTGCATTGCTAGAAGAGTTAATTGGCATTCACCACATTTAAGCCAACCACAAAGGACTTTTTACCTAAAAGCAAGTGGAATTATCAGTATTGTCGCTTGGTGCTGAGCAGTTGCCTTCAATATTGTTCTTTAGGGTTAGGGCTATAGTCTAATATAGTGAAAAAGGTCGTTCCAGTCTGTTCCTGCTTTTTTGACATGTCTATAATTATGTTTCTGTTTATTTCCTTTGGTATATATTTGCACATTATTGACAATTTCAGACTGCACACTGAAATTGAAGGTTGCAGCACTGACTTTATGTGCAGTTGTCATGGTGATAATGGGACAATGAATAATGTATAGGTACGAGATTTAATTTGAGTGCTATCGAGATTATATATTGTTGTAGGCCAACCTGAAAGTAAACATTGTATCTGTTCCCTCGACACAAACACTTTCATATTTGAAAAGTGTATGTAGTTAGCAAAAGTAAAGATAACTTTATTCTGCAAAAAAACTACCCCAAGGTCGCATGACGTCACCAGCAGCTGATAAAGTGAAATGTCTTGTGAAAGTGAAATGTCTTTTTTGAAACTTGTTAGCAAATGCCTTTTTGAAAGACCTGTAAAGAATGAAAATGTCTTTAGTGGAGTATTTTATGCTAGCTAAAGCTGAGAAGCGGCTTTCTGAATGTTTTGTACACAGATCTTTGACAATTAACGGACTTGTTCCATCAGAGCAGAGCAAATTAATCCAATCAAGCAATTTTTCACATCCACACAATTTTCACTCTTATTTGCAGTGAATCGCTGCATTGCAGAGCCTCTCTCGTGTCAGTGGATGTCTCTTAATGTAGATACACTTGTGTTTACACTGAGACTTAATTAGTGCCTATGTGGGCCGTGTAGGTGTATGCATGTGATGTTTTGTTCTATTTATATACCATATGCTTCTGAAGGGTGTATGTGGGTGTGTGTACAGTATGTGTGTGTGGGTTTCTCTATTACTCTTCTGTTTCTTTTTTTCCCTCTTTCTCCGCTTCACGTTGATGCACCGATTAAGCTGTGCTTACTGCATATTCACCTCACACAACCTCCTTAAGTCTGGTCGACAAATTGATTTATGTTATCCTCCCATTGAACAGTACGTAGGATAAAGAGTTATTTTGGTTTGTCTATCCCTCCTCACTTCATTTTGTTATGAACAAGAGTTATAGAGATATTCAGCACTTATGCATGATAAACACTGTTCAGTGAGTGCACTCAACTTCAGCCAATATTGCACTGCTATGCAAACTAGCATGAGAGCTATGAGAGATAACTGAGAGACTATGCTTAGTGAGAGAACTGGAGAGATTGATCCGGGGACACAGAGATAAATGTACAGCAGGAGTGAGATGTCAAGAGAGAAACACATGTAGAAACCCAGCAAACAGAGCTGTTTTTAACCGAATGTGTGCGTCCATTTCAGGCCAGTGGTATGATCTTCTTGCATATGTGTGCTTGTCAGTATGAGTGGATGTATGAGTAGGTGAGTGGGTGTGGGTATTGGGGATGTAGTGCTTATATTGTCACTGCTAATAATAATGTGGGCACATTCAAATTAAATTCCAATCTGATTTATTTGTATGGCACCATGTCATACAAAAGCAGGGTATTTTACATACAAAACAAGTGAACAGGCATCTTATACACCATATATCAAGCATACTGTACACATCTTTGAAGTACATCTTAGTGTACAAAGTAAGGTATTTTGTTTGGGTTTTAAAAGTCTAATATGAGCAGACAAATGGTTCTATATCGTTTAGTTGAATCATACTAAATGCCATCACACTTGATTTAGAAAGAGCTTTCTAGGCACATGGGGGAGATTTTCATCTTGTACCCGGAGAGATCTGCCAGGGAATAACTGACAGCCTGTCGGAGATGTACTGTGCAGCTAGACCAGCTAGAGCATTCTAAACCAAAAGGAGTTTTTTTATATTGTATAGAGAAAGCAAGTTAACCAATTAAGGCTTCGGAGGACGAGGGGTTGTTCTGATGTTTTTGTCCTGGTTGGAAGATAATTTGTAATCTACAGGTTGTTTTATTTGAAAGACCCAAAAACAGAATTACAATATTCCAGCCTGCTCATAACAAACACATACTCTCCGAGTAAGTTTGGGATGAAAGTCTTGATTCTTTAAAATGTTTCTGGAAAAAAGGCTACCTTGGTGATTCTGTTGATATGATACAAACATTACACGAGCAATATCTGAGCACACTGTTTTTAGAAATGGTCAGGGGCTCGTCATTCTAACTAACAGTGGCTGTCTTTTCCTGACCACATTTTCTACACAAAGGTAATTGGTTTATCGGCAGATTCTTCTTTGCACTAAAAACAAACAAAAACACTTTTCTCTTGATTTGTTTACAGAATCCCCCCACCCATAATGAAGATACAAATGTTTTCGTACACCTAATTTGTACCAATGAGAGATGGCTGGATACCACCTCTCTGTAATGCAACATATTTGAACAGCACAACGAAATTAATCCTCAAAAAATATAATTAAAGTTGGATCATCCATCCATCCATCCATCTTCTCCCGCTTATCCGTGGTCGGGTCGCGGGGGGGGGTAGCAGTTCCAGCAGAGAGCCCCAAACTTTCTTTTCCCTGGCCACATCAACCAGCTCTGACTGGGGGATCCCAAGGCGCTCCCAGGCCAGCGAAGAGATATAATCCCTCCACCTGGTCCTAGGTCTACCCCTTGGTCTCTTCCCAGCTGGACGTGCCTGGAACACCTCCCTAGGGAGGCGCCCAGGTGGCATCCTAACTAGGTGCCCGAACCACCTCAACTGGCTCCTTTCGACGCGAAGGAGGAGCGGTTCAACTCCGACTCCCTCCCGGATGACTGAACTTCTCATATCCCTAACGGCCCGTCCACAGCTTCAAAAAAAGCTTGGAGCTGGGCGTGTCTGAAGCTTGGGGATTTTATTCGAGCAACGTGACCAACAACCAATCACATGAATCTCCTGCCCCCGACATACAAAGCAAAAAAAACCCGGGGATTTTATGCGAGCAATATATATATATATATATAAACTCCCCAAACAGGTGAAAACCTACCAGTTTCACCCACTGTCTCTGCCACCTCCCTCCATGACTGGTTCTTCCGGTTTGTATCCCGGTAGGTGAAGAGGGTCTGGTCATACAAAACCGGGTGATTTGCTACGGCGATAATTAGTTTCTCCTCCATCTTTTTTTGAAATATAGAAATGAACGGCGGGATATCTCTCCCAGCTTAGACGCGGTTTGATTGGCTAGGGCTTGAGCTGTCAGATTTTCCTAAACGGGATTTGATTGGCTGGCGCTGGCTAATCCGGCGTCTCAGGCGTCAGAAGTTGAACATTGTTCAACTTCTGACGCCGGAGACGGACCGCTATGCTACCCACAATTCAGTTCGGCGAAAAGCGAGGCAACGTGACGTCACCCCATTCAAAGTGAATGGGCAGACGCGTTGGAAACCGTTTTTGAAGCTGTCGAAGCTGTAGTGTGGATGGGCCGTAAGGGAGACACCAGCCACCCTGCGGAGAAAACCAATCTCGGCTGCTTGTATCCGCAATCTCGTTCTTTCGGTCATGACCCATCCTTCATGACCATAGGTGAGGGTAGGAACGAAAATGGCCCGGTAGACAGAGAGCTTTGCCTTCTGGCTCAGCTCCCTTTTCGTCACAACGGTGCGGTAAAGCGACTGCAGTACCGCTCCCGCTGCTCCGATTCTCCGGCCCATCTCACGCTCCATTGTTCCCTCACTCGAGAACAAGACCCCGAGATACTTGAACTCCTTCACTTGGGGTAAGGACTCATTCCCTACTTGGAGTGGACAGTCCATCGGTTTCCTGCTGAGAACCATGGCCTCAGATTTTGAGGTGCTGATCCTCATCCCAGCCGCTTCACACTCGGTTGCGAACCGATCCAGTGAGTGCTGAAGGTCGCAGACCGATGAAGCCATTAGAACCACATCATCTGCAAAAAGCAGTGGTGCAATCCTCCACCAGATGGTGATCAGTTGACAACTCCGCCCCTCTCTTTACCCGAGTGTCCAAAACATACGGCCTCAGGTCCGATGATACGATAACGAAATCGATCATGGACCTTCTGCCTAGGGTGCTCTGGTACCACGTACACTTATGAGCATCCTTATGTTCGAACATGGTGTTTGTTATGGCCAATCCATGACTAGCACAGAAGTCCAGTAACAAACCACCACTCCGGTTCAGATCAGGGGGGCCGTTCCTCCCAATCACGCCCCTCCAAGTGTTTCCATCCTTGCCCACATGTGCGTTGAAGTCTCCCAGCAAGATGAAAGAGTCCCCTTCAGGAGCCCCATACAGGACTCTTTCCAGGGTCTCCAAGAAGGCCGTATATTCCGAACTGCTTTTTGGTGCATAAGCACACACAACAGTCAGAGTTTTCCCCCCCATAACCCGCAGGCGTAGGGAGGCGACCCTCTCGTCCACTGGGGTAAACTCCAACAACGAAGCACCCAACCGGGGACTTGTGAGTATCCCCACACCCGCCCGGCGCCTCACACCTTGAGCAACTCCGGAGAAGAATAGAGTCCAACCCCTATCCAGAAGTAAGGTTCCAGAGGTGACGCTGTGCGTAGAGGTGAGCCCAACCAGATCCAACTGGTAACGCTCCACCTCCCGCACAAGCTCCGGCTCCTTCCCCCCCAGAGAGGTGACGTTCCACGTCCCCAAAGCCAGCTTCTGTCGCCCGGGTCTGGTCCGTCGAGACCCTCTGCTTTCACTGCCACCCTTCTGGCAGCGCACCCGACCCCATCACTGTTTCCCGTAGGTGGTGGGCCCGCGGGACGGAGAAGCGGAGGTGTTGCCCACGTTGCCTTTTCGGGCTGTGCCCGGTCGGGCTCCGTGGCAAGCCCGGCCACCAGACGCTCGCCGATGAGTCCTCCTTCTGGGCCTGGCTCCAGAAGGGGACCGGGCCGGGTATCCTCACTTCTTGTTTTTTCTTTCATGGGGTCTTTTGAACCAATCTTAGTCTGGCCCCTTGCCTGAGACCAATTTGCCATGGGAGACCCTACCAGGAACACAAGGTTCCAGACAACACAGCCCCCAGGTTCATCAGGGCACACAAACCTCTCTACCACAGTAAGGTGCTGGTTCTTCAGAGAGGCAAAAGTTGGATCAGCTTCTCTATATATATTAAAACTTTCATGAATGTACAATTGATTGCACAGCGATTGTATGATTGTGCCCGATGTTACCAATAAACTGAGTGAATGTGAAGCAAATGTGTCCCTATAACAACTCCCTCATCTCTATTATCGTCTTTCTCTATCTTTGTATCCTTCTGTCAACTTGGCTGGAGGCTACAATCTGGTCGGTTGTCTATGCTGCTGCGCCATTTACTCATTGGCGCACTGAGGGCCCTGTGCTGTCAGTGCTGACTCACAGCGAAAAGGAGAGGAAGAGTTTATGAGTGTTAGTGTGTCTGAGTTTTCAGACTAAGAAATAAAGAGAAGAGTGGGCGCTGGATGCAGGTTTATTTGTTTATGTCTGAGTGGTTGCCTTTTGTGGAGAAAGACAGTAGAGTGCACGGCCATCTGTGAGCAGTTTAGCTGAAAAATATGTCACAGTCGTGCACCTGCCAGCCCTTTTCCCGCCTTCTGTCCTGTTTTCTTTATGGCATCTCTCCTGTTGTGCTGTCAAGGTTTTGACAGCTAATTATAAGTGTATTTGTGCCTCCTCTCCGTCTCTTTCTTTCTCTAGTGTTTCTGTCGTTCTGTCTTTCTCTCTGTCTGTGCTCTTTCTACCTCACTAACCCCATAGCCCGTTGTTGCCATGACTACCTCGCAGAGTGCTGGAATGCACACATTGGCGTTGGATACCTAGGTGATGAGATGCTCAAGTAGATCGTTGGAAATCCACTGGGTTCCACTGGCTGTGTGTGTGTTAACTTGTTGTTTCCACAAAATCAATAGTTAGTCAGGTGGCCATGAATTGGTGCAGTCAAATTGGAAAGATGGCTAGCTTTCAGTGTCCCTCTGGCCATTTATAGATTCATACTTGAGCCAGATTATAAGATGAGTACCATGTTGCTGCCCTATATCTACAGTATTACCAAGAGGAGATGAAGGCAATTATGTACTTGATTAGTTTTCCTCTCTCTTGCTATTTTAAGATTTTCATCAAATCTGCTGCCACAGGATATGAAATTAGATAATAAAATCTACGCTAATATGGAAGTAATATTGCTGCAGTACAATTTCCATTCAGTGGATCAATGCACACACAGCAACTCTGGTTCAGAAGAACATGGCCTCAGCTGCAGGATAGGCGGCACATGAACTAATGGGATCTGTTCTGCAGGGAAATCTAAAATATGAACATTCACAGCAGAGCCAGGTCTGTTACAGCTCCGATCCTTTAGATTTGATCACATTGCTAACAGATCTTAAGAGCAATTTAGTTATAATAATGCTTAATCTCCCATTTACATTTTCTTTTAGTGAGTTTTAATATAAATAGTCCGAAAATAGTGATGCCCTTTATACAAATATCTTATCAAAACACCAATATATAGTTTATAATAAAGGCAGATAAACAGAAATAATCAAATCCTCACATTTGACAAGTTTTGTAATTCAATGAAATAGTATTTCATTTGCATCTCTGACTGACTTAAGAATGAAATTCGTGCCAATTACTTTTTTTTGTTGTTCATCATTTTATCGACTAATCATTTAATCTGTACATCAGACTTTGTTGATGAGCAATTAAGATTTAAGGGAAAAGTAATGTTCATAAACAGATTTAAGTGTAAATATCAACAACAGAAGCAACATGAGTGGTGAAGTGGGACCTTATTTCGAAAAAATTATGTTTTGAAGTCAATGGAGAGAGAAAAATTATCTTTCGATCCCGTTTGAATTGTGCCACAAATTACACATATCATGCTTGTCAATTTAAAATATAATTTTGCAAGTCAAAAAAATAATAATGTGTCGTAAAACGGTGAAGTAACACATTTGTTTGTGTTAAACGCTCAATGAACTACATCTCTGGTCTCGCAGAACAAGACACGTCACCAAGATGGCCGTCACTACTGTCTTGTCAACAAAACGATTGACTACCCAAACTATCACCACAATGAAACACGTCCAGAAGAATGTCATGCAAAGCTGCCTGCCTTCCTTTGATTCTCTCTGAACTGCCTGGTCTTTTTAATGTTTAATGTCAACCATTTGTGCAGATAGCATGAAGTAGAAAATATCGGCGATCGCCGATGCTAGCGTTAGCATTTCTCCCCCGGGCTTAAATTGTGTATTATAGAATGATCACACCGGTGACAGTACTCTGCAAAGGGTTCACGAAATATGACTACTACTCTTACTGTTTAACATTTTGGGTTACTTAATGTTACTTCATATTAAGGCTAATAAAATGACAAGGCTGTAATGCTAACTAACGTGCTAACTACTAGCTAGGTAGCTAACTTGATCCAGCCACTCCTGGTCCTTTCATCAGACGGGAAGCGAAAGAACGAGCAAGACCCATTGCTGGTATGATAACAACCTGGTACTAAGCACACAGGCATCTTGTTAAAGTTATCTTATCTTAGCCAGCGCCATATCGATAGATTATATCTATATGGCGCTGATTTTAGCTATCTCTTATCTCATATAAACAATTGTGACATCACTTACGCGACTCTGGGATTTGTAGTCTTTCTAGTTGCGTATTTTTCAGTCTTATATTTCAACAGTTTTACGACAAACTGACTTTTTTGACATGGACATTATTTTTTACGATTGACAAACATCATAGGCCTATGTGTAATTCATGGCACAATTCAAACGGGATCGAAAGATACGTTTTCTCTCTCCATTGACTTCAATACATTATTTTTCCGAAATGAGGTCCCATGGACCGGAAGTAGATGGGCGTGACTTCGCCACTATTCAATGTTAGGCTAGGTCAAGGATCATACATGAAACACATGCTTTGAACTTTTTTAATACTGCTGGTTTTGTCATTGCTCTAATCTTTAATCCATCCCCTTCTACCTCTTTTTTTCTACACTCTTCTCCCACCACCTTCTTCTTCCCCCTCTCTCTCAGCTAAGGATCGGGATCCACACAGGTTCGGTTCTGGCAGGCGTGGTCGGGGTTAAAATGCCACGTTACTGCCTGTTTGGGAACAACGTGACACTGGCCAGCAAGTTTGAATCGGGGAGCCATCCGAGATGTATCAATGTCAGTCCCACAACTTATCAGTAAGTAACGGCGTGACAACTCTTATTTAAACCATGTGTCTATCATGACACTCACACTTTTGAATGTTATTTTAAAAAAGGCTTATTTTCTCTTAACAGGTTCCTGAAAGATGACCGCTCCTTTTCATTTGTCCCTCGCTCAAGGCTGGAGCTCCCAGATAATTTCCCCAAAGAAATCCCGGGGACATGTTACTTCCTGGAGGCGGGAACATCTCACAGCCACGCCTCATTGACCAGCTCTCGCTCTGCCCCCCCGACCTCTATGAGGAAAGTCTCCTACAGCATTGGGACCATGTTTCTAAGGGAAACAAGTCTGTAGGTCCCGTACACTGACTAGGATACGCAGATATTCATAATGAGAGAGGCTGGATTTGAACCTATGGAACATGCAGGGAACAGATCACAGAGAAAAAATGTGGATATGCAACGGAGTTCTCTGAAAACTTGCATTCAGACCTGTGGGCTGGCCAATATGAATGAACTTGTTGCATCATTGTAGGTGAAAAAACCACAATATGTCCTCATCTCACCTGAGCAGAGAGATATGGTTCATAAAACTTGAGGAACAGCAGTTGAGTTGGTCTCACACAGACCCGTCCCTAAGGAAGTGTAGTGATGGGGGCGATGAGCAGAGAAACCTTAAAGGTGGGGTATGGGTAAGTTTGAGAAACCGGCTAGAGTGCGCTAGAATTCGAAAATACACAACCGGAAAAAATCTGCCACTTCCTTACAGAGCCCCTCCTCCAACACACACGAACGCGCACATGACCAATGAGGGCACGAGATAAGTTTGTGCACAGATGGAAGGCTGACAGGCAGGTAGGCCATCCAGTTATTTTAGCTGGGCCGGCTCAGATGATTGGTCGTGCTTTTTACAGTACTACGGCTTCCACAGATGACGTTTTTTTATGGATTTTTTGTCAAAGCATTTAATATATTCATTGCTATCGGGATGTTGAGAGCATTCCATGGAATATAACAAAAAGTGTATCTCGAGCCGGTTTCTCAAACTTACCTACCCCACCTTTAATATAAAACACAGTGATCTAACCAAGTTCCTAGTTCTCTCCCTAACAGCACCTTGACGTGGGTCAAGAGGCAACAATTCTTGGATGAAAATCATTACCACTGTTGCACACATAAGCAATGGAATTGGGCAACCAGAACATATCCCATTCCCATTAACAAGGATGAGGCAGAAGAATGAAGTTGTATGAACTTTAGAGGATGGCAACATTGTGCTTCATGGCCACTTGTACAAGTTAAACCCCTGCTGAAGAACAATACAACTCCCCTTTCAACTGTCCCTAAATCATGTCATGCTTTACCAAACATACTTCTAACATCTGCTGCTCGTTACATCCATCTTCAAAAGACATTTGGTGGGTGTGTGGAAGGGGACGGATGAGAGGCACAAACAAGGAGATAGGTTTGAAGAGGGGTCATCAAAGGACAAATGCTAAATAATGCTACTGCTAAGCTGATCTTAGAGCCTTTTATGCTTCTAATTCACAGGAAACTATAACCAACAATAATACAGCCATTTCATTGCAGGTAATATGTTTAGGACTGAAAATGATTCCCAACTCAGTGCCTTTTTACTGCTCAAATCAGAACAAACACAAGATGGGTTAGGTTTAAATATTTGAAAATAAAATAAAACACAAGAGCGCTTCACTTATCGAATGTTTCTATTTTTTTCCCATGTCTTTTTCTTCGCTCTAGGCCACCAAAAGTTACAACTAGTACGTTCTTTCATTTGAGAGGGTAATAAGTGACAAGATAAATCAAGCGCTTCTGAAATATTAAAAATATTTAAAATTCTATCCATCTTTGTTTCGGATCAACCAATAATACACACAATATAGTACTAATAATATAGTACTATACTAACTTGTACACATAGTCGAAGTATGCATGCTTGACACGGTTCACATTGACATACGTAATATTTTTTAATTGCATTGTTTTTTTCACCACATTTATATAAAAGTATACACTAACCCAATGCAAATGTAACCAACAGGATTCAAATTTAAGTCTACTAGTTTGCTGGTAGACTGAGTATAATTGACTCAGTGGAAATCTCAGGCCTTCCAAATACTTCTGCGTAGCTTAGTAACCCAGACATGGGAAAATAAGTTTTGAGCAAGAGAAGCTTCATTATCTGTCGTAAAGTGAGAAGACAAGGGTCGAAGTTGGATAGTCTTTGAATATTTGACAGGCTTGTCACATTTGAAAACCTACTTCATGTAATTAACATTACATTCCTGCCACCGTTCTGGTTGTTGACATCACATACATGTGACATCAGTGGAGTACAAAACATACATTTTATATCAATTAAAGGTGTTGCAGAGTTGGCCCTCAGAGAAGATAATTGTATTTAGTCTCATGAAATATTATGTTTTTATGTTGATAGAAATGTTTTCTATAACTAAACAAAGTACTTAGATATGTGTTAACGTCACATCCCACTTTTAGGCTATTAGAAATGAAAAAGAAAGATTTGAAATCTAGATTGTTTAAACTTAAAGTACTAATACCTGTGTGTGCTTACCCTACTTGGTGTAAAATAAAAATGTTTTCTTAATTGTACAACAGCATCACAATAAGGCTTACTTTACTGATAAAACAACTTACATGTAATAACTCAACTGTTAATAGCTGCTCTTCTAAAGACATCGTTTGACAATGGAAAACTCCAGCACTGGGTTTATTTATCTTTTCAATCACAAACCTCCACCAGGAATGGAAAGAGACTAGCAAGTTTTAATTTCATTGCATCTGATAAAGGACACAGTTGATGTATCTCTAAAACTTTAAATGAAATGTGCCAATTTAATTCTGAGAAAACACCAGCACAGGCTTATCAAAGTAAAGGATTTGGTTCCTGCTGTCAGTTCAATCAGGAGAGATGGTTTTGATGTAAGAATACATATTTATTGCCAGGAATACACAAATTAATGTAATGGAGTTTTGGCGATTAGGCCCCGTTGTCCAGGAGTATCATTCGGGAGGGGAGAACCGATCCAATGAAACCCCCGGGGTCTAGACACTGGTGGTGGTGAATGGATAGTTTGGTTCGATCTGAAGGGGAGTGGCTTAGCTTGACCCTGGATTCGAGAGACAGGAGTGGCTGAGATGGACACCAGCATAACAAAGCAATGTGCCATATATGAATAAATGATGGGAGGGGAAGCTAAAAAAGAAAAAGAAAAGCACACATTTTCACCTGCCAGTGTTTGAATCAGATCGTTTTTGAAATGTTGGTAATTATTGTCATAAATATTTCCAACATCATTCCTCTGACAGCCGTAGCATTAGTTAGCTTGGAACGCTTGCACATTTACAAAATGTATGACCTATTTTTTCAATTGTTTCCTATTCCTTTAAGTTTACTATGCAGTATATAATTAATAGTGGATTAGCCAACACTGTCAACTAAGCATACATTCACTCAGTCGAAGACTTGGGGGTATAGTTGTATCTTAAAGAATCTGTAACACAATCAAATGATGTGTATTAACTCAGAAATAATGCCAAGTGGCAACTAAACTAAGTTAGCATATCATTTTTTTGCTACACTTTGAAAGCGGCATATATGTTGTTCAATTTATATTGCTTTGTGGCAACAGAGCCAATACAGTTCCTTAGACTATTGATGAACATTAATATCTGTTTGGGTGATATCATAGAAAACCATTATCTGCAACACATACATCAGGGAAACACACTTCATGTAGGCCCAATCTGTAGGGATACTTCAGTGGCTAAGACACAACATGTATCCTCATGGTAATGTTTACTTTCCTGCCTATGAAAAGTTAAATAGGTATATTATTATTGCCAAATACACCAGAGAATAGTCCATGTGGGAAGTTCCCCATGTCTTTAAGTCCTGGGGAAATGAATACTGCTAAGCCTTACTTGAACTGATGGTATAAGCATAAGATAATAATTTAGGAGGTTAAATGGACCATTTTATGGAAGTCTTCTTAGCTCTATTTTAGTTACCGATGTTCCATATGGAAACATGAACAAATAAGCGCTCCCTTGTGTATGCACTTATTAGGGACATATTGGGAACACAGGAAAAGCAACAATTTGATGTTACACTTGGAGGAAGACGTATATAAATACAGCCTCACAATTATGTGTTAGTTCACAATATATACTGTAGAGCTCCAGGAATGAGTAAAACAACATGGAAATTATTTAGCATTTTTTTGCTTACGGTCCCCTTGCCTAAAATTCCACGGGTGTTTAGGTAAGATGCCTTATATAAGGCCTTTGCTTTGTTCTACAACATGGAATTAGTCAGGCAATACCCCACACATGCATTTTCTATCTTTTTACGTTTCTTAAAAAGGCAGTTTCTAACAAATGGCCAAATAGGACAATTTGAAGTCATTGCGCTGAACAGTTGTCTGCCCAGAGCTAAATAAAGTAATGCAGCCGTGGTGTAGTTCCTTTATAGTAGGTTTTAACCTCGGGTAAAGATTCAAAAATATGGAACACCTGCAGCATTGGATATATTAAAGAAATTCATATTAATGCTACATACAAAATTCAGTGCATAGGCATTCATAAAGCAATGAATAAAGCAACATAAAACAGAATGTCCTTAGGGTCCCCATAAGGTAGCTGAACCACTCTTAAGTGTATTTGACCGTTGTGTTAATGAGCCTGGGGTGAAGTTTTTCTAGGCGTTCACATTAAAGAGATGCTCTCTGACTGCCATCCTAGCGATATTCTACAGTGCATACATGCATAAATGTATACTTAATAAATCTATTGTAGCATAAATGTGGTGTTATTTACACTCAACTTCATCAGTGCTTAAATTCTTCATGGAGGCTATTTAAAGGACATTAGAACAGCGTTACACCCACGCAACTTGTGTCCAACGCTCATGTGTCCAAGTCTGTAAATTCTCAGCATAATAGTCAATGTTTGGTCACATCTTACAATACTTGCTGTTATAATGGGGATGGTTTGCAGGTACTGGTTCTCTATATTGTTATTGTCACTAATAGTCCATTACACTGCATTGCATACTGTAGGTCACTTACTCATACACAGGGGAACGTTACAGTTACAGTGGCAATACAACTGAGCTATGCTGGAATATTTGTGTCAAACAATGAACATGAACAAATGTTGTCATGAGCCTGAGGTAAGTGCGGGGTGGTCCAGTGTCCAGTGAGACAAAGCCAAATACATCCGTAACTGTTGTGTGTGTGCTTTGCTGTGTGAGTCTGTGCGTGTGTGTGTCAAATCATATAAGAATATAATGAGTGTGCAGATAATCACTTGTTAATAAAGGCCTATTGTACCTGTAACAAATCTGTACAATTAAGATCTATTTAATATATAAAATTGAGAAATGGAATTTGTAATACAATTATATTGCAGATTTCTTTTGTATAATTCACAACATGATTTTCACATTTTCCACTGCTTTGTTGTGTGTTTTCTATATCAGATGCTTTATGTCATTATATGTGCTATCGAAAGCCAGGCTGGTTTTCCCAACATGCAACATAACCTTTCCATCCTTAAGTAACATTAATGTTCTCAAGAATCGTGAACAAAATTGTTTATTTTTCCATTTACAATATTGTAATTTTTTCTCCCACATATTTTGATTGGTTTTCTTAATGATGGACACTTTTCCTTCAACTGAATGAGAATGTCTTTATTGAAAGATAAAGTTGCTTAACATAGGATTTTTGTCAGGACAATGTCATAAACCCTCAAGTTTGTTGCCAAGATCATCTTTCCCCCGACTGACTTGCAGGACAAATGGTCTAAGCTGATGGGGAACTGGTTCATATATTAGTTTAACTATATTAAACCTTGGATTAACAGCATAAACAAACATGGTGGATGCTTATCATCCATGTCCAGGGTCCAAAAAAAGAATCCAGCCATTGTAAAGGATGCGTACTCCACTCATCAATCTCACATGAGAATAGTAGCTTCCATAACATTTGTACGCCAGCTCACTTTTAAACTAAATAGATATTTGTGACATTTAACAATTTAACAGAGTGTAACTTAGGGAACCACTGGGTAATGTCACGTGTCCGAAATCTGGTCAGTGTTTTGTACTTTGTCATGTTGTAAACATACAGAGCTGACCCTGGACATGAACCCTGTTTGTTTGTTATTGGAATCAGGTGTGTGTGTGTGTGTGTGTGTGTGTGTGTGTGTGTGTGTGTGTGTGTGTGTGTGTGTGTGTGTGTGTGTGTGTGTGTGTGTGTGTGTGTGTGTGTGTGTGTGTGTGTGTGTGTGTGTGTGTGGAAGAGGCTTGATGACATTAAAGGCACATCTTCTGTCTAATATGATGTAAATAAAAAACACCAAGTATCTTTAATAAGGAAGAAAGACCGTGGCTTTTACTGTCTTTACACACTTTACACTTTTGACTGATTAATGTTTGAGTCTGTGGATGCATTTTATTATGTGATAAATTAGCATTAACATCTCCTTTTCTTTTGCCTTTTCTCATTAAACTGTTTTGTTTTGTATATATTTGTCAAGTGTAGTTGGGTCACACTGATACTGAAACACTAGGGCTAGTTTTCAAGAAGACAGATTGAAACTATAGTCCTTCAGCAGTCAACATCATACAGTAGTTGTCTGGACGAGGCAATGTTTTCTATTGTATGTGGTCCGGGATAGTCTCACTCGCTTCAAACTCTTGCGTCTGGTTTTCAGGAGCTCTTGTTCCTCAACTTCAACTAGTTGCATTTATCAGGTAGGAAACTAGAAAAAGCACAACTATAGGCCAACTGTAAATCAGTTTGAGATTGTGTTAAAACTTCACAAGTGTGCTTTTTTACTTTCTGGGAGTTCATGCACAGACTAAACCTGAAAACCCTGGCCATTTGGTTTGATACAATTGTAAATACAACATTTATGAATCGTTATCTTTGAATTTGTTTTAAGCAAACTTGTTGGCAAAGAGTTGCTCATTAATCCATTAAGTTAGTATCATCAGTTATTAGGAACAATTCTTCTCGCTAAAGTCAAAATAATTCCAAAAGTAATTCTCCATTCATCTCCACACTTATTCTCCACTAACTCCGGAGAGAAACCTCTAGCTTCACAGCTGCTAATTGCTCTTTGTTCATCTCTATAGACAGAGACTTTGTCTGTCTGTAGAGGTGAACAAAGTGCATTTTGGTGTTGAGCAGTGTGGTGTTGTAAAGGGACTTTCACCGTAACAACAGCTCTCTGCTGGTGGAAAACAACGCTATAAGAGCAGTGAGAGTGAAACCAGAACAGTGCAATTGTGAGCTAAAGCTCGGACCACCTGAATAATTGCTTTTTTGTTATTTTTCCCAGCTTTCGATAAACTTCACCACTGTCTGTGCTCGTTCTCATTACTGACAACTAATACAGGTGGTAAGTCATTAGGGTTATTAACTTTTCTAAACTGTAAAACACTGATGTACATACAGTACATCAATGTGTTACAGTTTAAACAAGGAGATGTTGATGTTAGCCAACCAGTCTGACTGTTTTCTTTTCTTTTCTTCCTTTTCAAATTGTGTGGATAATTCTCAGCCTGTATGCAATATGCAATGGAAAATTGGTTGCCATGTAAACTAGGGTGACCCGCAGACTTTACTTTGCTGCCTCCTGTTATTTTTGTTATTCTTGTGCAACTTCTTTTTACAAATCCTCTCAGAAGGTGCACATTATTGGTAAATTAGTTTGTCAGTCAGGAACCACTTAGATAAAAAGCCTGCAAAGTTTTTCAATGGAGTTGTTCCTTTCCGTCCCCTGTATTCTCGCACTACGTCGACTTCTCTGTTCAGTTCAATGTTCTCCTCTAACCCTCCAGCCCTCAACCGGTCCCTTCCTCCCTTTATCTTTTATCCCCTCTGTATATGCAAATACGTCTCCATTACTCTAATTGGCTCTGGGAGGTTTGAATATTTCACGTGGACCATCTTCACTGCACAGACGAGAGACTATGGACTATGTGGCATAACATTGCACAAGCTAACGTGCTAATGGAAGTCACACACACACTGAGGTATGGTCGAATGAACAAAGGTCATGTAATTTACACACTTTGCTTGTCATATTAGCCAAATGAAGCAGGGCAGAGTTCTGGGGTGCTGACAGTTTTACAGCTTGACAGGGAGTTATGAGGTTAGTGAGGGGCTAAGGTGTGTGTATGTACCACTCTGCATCATAATGAATAATGCACCCAATATTCATGGTTGCATATGTAGAGGAGAATCACTGTTATACGCTGAACAAAAATATAAATGCAACACTTTTGTTTTTGCTCCCATTTTTCATGAGATGAACTCAAAGATCTAAAACATTTTCTATATACACAAAATAACCATTTCTCTTAAATATTGTTCACAAATCTGAAAATATCTGTGATAGTGAGCACTCCTTTGCCGAGCTAATCCATCCCACCTCACAGGTGTGGCATATCAAGATGCTGATTAGACAGCATGATTATTGCACAGGTGTGCCTTAGGCTGGCCACAATAAAAGGCCACTCTGAAACGTGCAGTTTTGCTTTATTGGGGGGGTCTGGGGGGGTCCGAAAACCAGTCAGTATCTGGTGTGACCACCATTTGCCTCACGCAGTGCAACACATCTCCTTCGCATAGAGTTGATCAGGTTGTTGATTGTGGCCTGTGGAATGTTGGTCCACTCCTCTTCAATGGCTGTGCCAAGTTGCTGGATATTGGCAGGAACTGGAACACGCTGTTGTATACGCCGATCCAGAGCATCCCAAACATGCTCAATGGGTGACATGTCCGGTGAGTATGCTGGCCATGCAAGAACTGGGATGTTTTCAGCCTCCAGGAATTGTGTACAGATCCTTGCAACATGGGGCCGTGCATTATCATGCTGCAACATGAGGTGATGGTCGTGGATGAATGGCACAGCAATGGGCCTCAGGATCTCGTCACGGTATCTCTGTGCATTCACAATGCCATCAATAAAATGCAACTGTGTTCGTCGTCCATAACATACGCCTGCCCATACCATAACCCCACCACCACCATGGGCCACTCGATTCACAACATTGACATCAGAAAACCGCTCACCCACACGACGCCACACACGCTGTCTGCCATCTGCCCTGAACAGTGAAAACCGGGATTCATCCGTGAAGAGAACACCTCTCCAACGTGCCAGACGCCATCGAATGTGAGCATTTGCCAACTCAAGTCGGTTACGACGACGAACCGGAGTCAGGTCGAGACCCCGATGAGGACGACGAGCATGCAGATGAGCTTCCCTGAGACGGTTTCTGACAGTTTGTGCAGAAATTCTTTGGTTATGCAAACCGATTGTTGCAGCAGCTGTCCGAGTGGCTGGTCTCAGACGATCTTGGAGGTGAACATGCTGGATGTGGAGGTCCTGGGCTGGTGTGGTTACACGTGGTCTGCGGTTGTGAGGCCGGTTGGATGTACTGCCAAATTCTCTGAAACGCCTTTGGATACGGCTTAT